TGCCACAATACTTTTATATTAATTTATTGATAAATGAAACTATTAAATAAAATAATTTAACATAAATTGTCAGAACATTTATTGCTTGGAATAAAGCTTCAAATTTAACGTGATATCACTTATATCATGATCGGCAAGTGATCGACATTGTGATATAATGCATGTCCGCCCTGTTTGTATAAGTATGCTCATTTATCAATATTCTAATTTTAAAATTTATAAATTGGACCATATTTTAATATCATAAAATTGCGACCGTTATTATTTCACTAATCATGTTAACTAGAAATCATTTTATTTTTCACCAAACGCTCCATTTTATCCTTCGTAAATCGTAACTAAAATTTTTATTTTTTCGTTCTTTGATCATATTTAGAAATTATCACATGAAATGAGCTTATGTGATTTAGCGGTTGTGGATGTTAATTTCAAATCTTTCAATAGAATGTCAACTAATGATGATCAAAATTCTTACACGCGCGCGTTTCGCATTTCGCACATCTTTATTTAATGATTTCCTGAAATCATTGTTTATAAGGGAATTACTAATCCTTCGTACACTTCGATCAAGCAATAAGTTTTACATGATTTAGAAATAATGATCTGGAAATTATGAAGTCATCTCAGGTGATTAAATACAATAATTATTATATTAACGTCTGGTTAATTTATTCTCGACTTTTTTTTCCAAATAAATGATATAGACTGATTTGTGAAAGATGAAAAATATAATTTTAATCCGAAAACAATCATAAAGAATAAAATGAAATAAAAGAATTCATTATTTAATTTCATTATATTAAATACGCTATATAAATATATTAATATTTAAATAATTTTTTGTTTTTCATTTTTTCATATTTAAATACTTTAAATACTTTAAAAATATCAGAGTAAATTACCATCATCACACTCCAAATTTTATTCAATTGTTTAAATTTTACAATTACGATTGTATCCTTATTGTAATATTTGACAATCTTCAAAACTTTTGGGATACAAAAGTTCAACAAATAATAAAGAATTCTTTGAAATCTCACTAAGTAACTTGTTACTAATATTCAAAATGAATGACAATAATTCATCTTGACCCAACGTTACTTCTTGACGATGTCCAATATCATCCAAGATACGACTAAAAAGAAACATAATCGTTATCTTGTAAAACATCCCTTCAAGATCGTATTTATACCAGATACGATAAAAAAATTCTACTATATAATTGAGTTCTTCGTCATCTAATTTGCTATATTCTTCCAGTATCTTACAATAATTTTTTATAATCTCATCAGTGATGAATTTCTTTTGGGGCCCATCGGACAATTGTGTCACTCCCTCATAATGATCTAATGTTTCTAAATAAGCGTAAACAGCAGAAAGTAATGCCTTTTGTTCTTTGAAAGTAAGAATTTCTATATTCTTAAGAAGATCAAGGATACGGTTTGTATAAACTTCATTATCATATATATTTTTTAATATAGACAGCGCCATTTCGTGATTTGATCCATTAAGTGCATGTTTTATTGTTAATAACATACTTTTTAAGCATTTAAAAGCATATTGTAAATTCCGATTCGAATTCTACATGTACAAAAGAAATTATTATTATTAATACATATTAATTATTTTTTAAAAAAAAAACATGTTAATTCATATATTACCTCTTTTGGTTCGCATTTTACTAATAAAGAAAACGTCCATTCGAACGATTCGACAGTTATAGCAGGAAGTACTTGAGAAATATCAGATATCTTATATATTGACAACAAGACTCCATCTTTTAAAAATAATGAATTTTCTGAAGTTAACCGTATCCTGAAATTTAAAATATAATCGACTAAATACAAATAATAAGCAATGATCTTATTAATGTCAGGATTATCTAGATTAGCCTTAATTTCTCTTTGGATCGTGATGATGAGAACTATACAATAAATACATAATTTAATAAGTTAGATTGTTTAAATTGATAATTTATTTTATTTATAAAAAATACCTTCGAACGCATTGCTTGTAATTATTTTTAATGAAGCTAATTTCATGCATTTCCGGGTTTGATCATTAAGAACCACGCGTCTTTTCTTATTAACATGTTCAGTCTATAATTAAGATAAATAGTCAGGACAGTTAGATCGTAAAAAACTATAATCTTAATGATTATAATAATTAAATATTTACCAAGATCTTTTGCCCATTCTCAGTTTTTTCTCTCAGTCCTATTGAATCAGATCTTGGAATTTCTTGCCAGGTTTGTCGTATATCTACTGGTACCTCATAACCTTTTTTAGTATCTACCCATACTTTAGGGCAAACCTTAGAAACTTTTTTACGTATTTTGTCTTGCTTATTTTTCATTTGTTCCATTAATTTAACCCCTTTTGATGATGCTTCCTATAAATCATATTAATTAATATTAATTAAAATCAGAATAAATCAAATAATCGAATATAATGCTCATACCATTTTTGGATCTGTGAATAAATCGTCAGAACTATTATACCCAAGAATGTGATAAAAAATCTCTAAGATAAGTGTATGCCAAATAGCCTCATTTTTATCGCTCGCCATAATCATAATGATCTCGAAAAGATTCTCATTGCAAAATTGAACGATCAAATCAAAATGAGCTTTTAATTTCTCGTTAATGGTTAGATTTCCGGAGCAAGGAGCATCTTTGATCGCCAGGAGATTACGACAGATTAGAAGCAAAAGATGAATAAACTTCTTATCATCACTATTTCTATCGACCAAATTCAAATGCCATTGTAACATATATCGGATATTGTGTATTATTGAAATATTCAATATAAACAAATCCTTATAAGCAGAGTTCATCTTTAGGAACGGTAAATCATTGAGATTTTTACTCATTGGATAAATTTTGGTCATTCGAGTTAATAATTCGACTTTATTTAAAGAAAGAGGATTTAAAATTAATAAAATTGAATTAATCAAATGAAATCATAAAAATATTTTAGTTTTACCGCATATTCGTGAAGTTTCCCTTTGTGAATTATTTTCAAGACGACCGTTTAAAAGAATTATAGGGAACAGTCGTGATTCCATAAACTCTAACTTGTAAAGGATAATAAAACATTCTTCTTCTTTATAAACTATTTTATTAATTTCTTGAAGTGATGGGATAATATTTATTCCTGGAATAAAAAGATTATAAGAGCTGCCATCACGCGTAAAGACTTTAGTTGTTTCTCCTAGCAGGCTGACATGTTTGTTTATAATTGAATTCCAATATTCGAATTCGTTCTCATTCTTGACGCGTTGAAAACGTTTTTGTCTTGCTCTTTTACTAAAAGTATCCTTGTTAGCGCTATTAATAAAATTAACGGAGGTTGTTCGTTTCATATCTATTATGTTAATGTTTAAAGTGAGAAAAAAAAAATTCGTCTTAAATAGACGCGACTTACCACGTGAACTTAACGTGTAACATGGTTGCCTTGTGTGACAAATCACATTACAAGATTTTGCCGCAGTAATTTAAAAAATGGATTGGCATAATTCCATAATTTACGCATAAATAGCTAGCATTAATGATACAACTTCAGCAAAAGACTTTTATGATAATATTGCTATTACAATTTATAAAAAATAATGATTATAATATTGCTTTAAGGCAATAATACTAATAAAATTTTGAAGCCGCAGACATGGTTTGGTTTGGTCTACAACACCACCAATACCAAAAAAAATCCAGTTAATTTTAAGTAGCCTACATCTATTTCCAAATGTAATCTTTTCCCGATAACAATTTCCTGACAAGACAAATTCTTGAATGGACATTTTCCTGAAAAGAACTTTTCCCGACATTATTGCCTCGACAAATTACGAAAAATGATTTACATAAATACTTGATTTTACTGCGAAAAAATAAAAATAAAAATAAATTTTTTTATATAATAAATTAATTAATGATCTTATCAAAAACTTTTCAATCAATTCTTTATGGAATATTAATTTCATGAAATTTATTATAAATTATTTTACAGTTTTAGGAATATCATCAAATTTATTAATTTGAAATATTATAAATGAAATTAAATCTTAATTAATATTTTTAAAAAAGTTATTGGATATTAATGACAAAAATATGAAATGGTCAACAATTATTTTCTAAATAGATTATTTTGCTCAGTTTATTTTGTATATCTATTTGTAAAAACACCGTTTGTGTAGTATCGCAAAACAATATTTTATTATCAATAAAATTAATTAAAATTTGAATATTTGCGATTTATCAGTTATAATGTTTTATGTATAAAATTTCGATTTATAAATAACTTTTTTTTTCTTTTATTGTTAGATACTATATACTCAACCCAAAGTTGCATTTTTAATAATTTGATTTCGGGAAAATTTCATGTCGGGATAATATCATGTCAGGAAAAAATGCTATAACGTAAGTTACTTAGCAAGTTTAAATTACATGACTAATAACCATTAAATTTTAGTAGTAATCATTTGTTATCATTCATTTTTTTATCATTTTTATTTTTTTATTTTTTAAACGAAATGAATATATTTTAAAAACTTTTTATTATAAATGGTAAACCGTCAGGGTAAGTATACCAATTAATGATGTATGATGCAATCGGCAATATTTGTAACATGTCGAAGATTATATAGAAAACAAGTACAGTATGGAATCCTATGTATGTATGTATGGTGGTCAATGTATGGTATGTATGGTGTTAATTTTCATACGGTATAGTTATCACAATAGTAATATACTATACATGAGCCACCATACATACCATACATTGACCACCATACATACATACATAGGATTCCATACTGTACTTGTTTTCGTCACCCCCCATGTCGAACAATCAAATGAACATCATATTGCATACATAGTATTTATATGATATCATATCTGGAGTTCAACTTCACTGAAACCTATTTCGTCGAAGCCATTTCGCCAAAGGGATATTTCACCAAAGCGATATTTCATTACTGAACACGGAAAAATTTTTGATTGGAGAAGAACTTTCGCCGAAATAGCATTTCACTGAAACCCCATTTCACCGAATTCCATTTCGCCGAAGCGAATGGACATTTCGCAAATCTTTTCTAGGAAAATTTTTGAATTATCTGCCGTGATTTATTATATTTATCTTGTTTGTTTATAATACATTAATCTTTTTTTTTTTACTTACTTTTTCGTGAATAAATGTTTCAGGAAAATAAAGTTATTTATTTATTGCTTAACAATTAATATTAGTTTACTTGTGTGCTGAAGTGATAATATCCTGGAAAAAACAATCTCTAAAAATAATTTAATTTTATATTCATTGCGCGCGATAAATATTTTTTATAAAAATGTTAATCGTTATCATTTTTAGCGAAATGTTCATTTGGCGAAATGGGATTCGATTTGGTGAAATGGATTTTGGCGAAATGGACGATTCGGTGAAATGGATTCGATGAAATGCACTTTCGGCGAATGTCCTTCCCTTCGGTGGAACATCCTTTCAGCAAAATGTACCGTGACCGTATTATATAGTTTTTGTTTTGAAGTATATATAAAATATTTATATTGGAAATCTTACTAATATGTGCATTTTGAGAATTCTTGTATGATGTCAATAAGTTTGAAATATAAATTTGTGAAACTGATATTGCTGCAAAACCATGTCTGTCCCGTTCCTACTAATTCCTAAAAAAAGTGATTAAAAAAAATAAAAAGAGGAGATCAATTGATATTGATCGGTCTTTTGAACCTAAAAAAACTGTTGGTCTTGTTGATCCATCAAACGATCACGGGGGCCATCTTTAAAGAATTGTCTGCACGTGTCCTAAAGATCGACACAACACGACTTCAGTTAAATTTATACCGAGTCTATTTGTTTTACAACGATTGTCTCATCAAACTGAAATTTAATTCGCATTAGCACAATGGATAAATGCAGCCAACTAATAAGGAACTTGAGTTTTTTATTTTTGCAAACGTTGAAATTTTATAATGTCATATTATGAAGATGATAATGAATGTAAAAGATGTGGAGAACATAATGATTATCAATGGGGATGGTGCAAATCATGTCAAATAAATGATTTTAAAAAAAATTTCACAAATTGGACCAGTGGAAATGAAAAAATTGATAGTTTAATTCAGAAAAAGCAATTAGAAATTAATAAATCTTTTGATATTATAATTGAATGGATATCATATGATCAGTTTGATGATATTAAAGAGTTAGGAAAAGAATGAATTTTCTAAAATATATTCAGCAATATGGAAGGATGGCCCATTAATATATGACAATAATAAACATGAATATTCAAGAGAACAAAGTATGAAAGTCAATTTTAAATTATATAAATCACAAAATATTAATGGATTTCTAAATGAGGTATTATTCTGTTGTATTGGATATTTTGGACAAATGGAAGGTAAATTTATCAAATCTGTACGAGCATATGAGAGTATTATTTGCCGATTGTGCACATGATGAGGTTTTAACATTTAAATATTTGTAATGGAAATAGACCTGAAATTAATGTGACAGAAGCACCAAAATGTTATATTGATTTGATAAAGCAGTGTTGGAATTCTAATCCAGATAATAGACCAAAAAGCAGCTGAAATTTCTGTATCAATTAAGTTATTTATCGGCTGCTATAAAAGGGATGAAGCTGGTTTTGAAGATTATATAGTAGTTAAAAAGGAACAACGACATTATGAAATTGAAAAACGATTCAAAGAAGCAGAAGAATACAGAAAATCACATCTCACATCATATGATGAAAATAAACGATTAGTTGCTCATCCACAAGCTATTTATGCATCACGATTACTTAATCCATTTACAAAAAATATCTCAAAATATGATAATGTTGACAATAACACGGTAGAAATTATTGATTTTACAAAGTTTTATAAATTTTATAAATTTTATAATTTTATAATTTTATTTTATTGAATTCAAAACTAATTCTTTATACAGATTATAAATCAAGGATGATACGACAGAACGAATAAATTTATTTTTAGCATGATAAGTTAGCTAGGTTGAAAATAACCCATAGTATTATATTATTTACTCTTATTTTATATATTTTGTTCAACACTTGATTATAGAGTACATGTAAAATTTACTTTTACAAAAATAAAATCAGTTTGTAATTGAGCAAATATCTTCAAATTTATTTAAATTCCTGATTAATGCTATAAATAAAATTTCTAATTATTTGTAATATACATTCAATAGATAAAGTCGTAATTATTTTTCGTTCTGCTCATTCTTATGATATTATCTCTTTAATAATTTAATATGCTAGCAAATCAAGATATGTATCAATAAATCTTGATTGTGGATTGAACGCATTGTAATGTAACTTCAATCTTATAAATTCTTTAAATACATACATAACTCTTTAACACATTTTTAATTTTTGAAATAATTAATAGATTTATTTAAAACGGAGGGTTAATAATTTTACATGTATGAATTATTTAAATTACTAACTAAGAAATTTGTAAGAAATCTTACTACTCTAGTCATAGTGTTTAAATAATTTTGATAAAATATAAATAAATATAAATATTTTATGAGTTTTGCTAACTTGTCCACTAGGGTTAAATAATCTGAGTTAAAATCACCCCCCTAAATTTATATTTTATATTTATAAAATCATTTGTGTTATTATTCATTTCACTTTATATGGATTTTATTTATTTTGATATTATAGAGTATAATGACAAATTTTTTCTTATATTTTTGACAATGTCTCTCGTTTTTTATTGTAATCATAATTTACATTTTTTTTTTGAAAATTTGGGCAAAATTATAAAATTTACTAGTAGGTTAAATCGCCCAGGTCAAATCACCCTAGGTTAAAATTAGTCTTATACACATTTTATAATGATTGACAAAGAGAGATGGTAGCAAATTTACAGTATAAAATCATTTGTATCTAAATATCTAAAAAAAAAGTAATTAAATATTTACAATAAAAAAAATTAGTAAATATTCTTTTACATTTTAAAATAATTAATTTTTACCTTCAGGAATTTCAAATTCATCTTGATCTTCAGAATGAAAATTTGGGTTATTGTATACATCATCTTCATCATCTTTAGTACAAAAGAAGAATAATTAAAAAAAAAAAAAAA